TAAAGAGACAGGTACGCTTTATCAGAGTAAATATGCACCCATTCTGGGAGCAGTTTGGCTGGAAGCCAGAATTAGCCTATTAATATTGATGTCATTTCTACACAGTGCCTTTGGTATTATACCACATAGGTCATTAATCACGGAAGTCATTCCTTTTCTCCCCAACATGTAAGGTGGTTTTTCTTTTGTATAGGTAGAAGTGAGCTTTATTATTTTTTTTCTTGTTATCAGCTAAATCCTTGAAATTGAGGAACTTCTGAAAAATTACATTAATTCTTCCACATATCTGAAATATGCAAAACTGCAGACTGGTAAAGATAAACTAAATATTGCTAATCACATGACAGATTTATGTATGAGGAAATTAAAGATAATTGCTGTTTAAGTAACTTTGCTATTAAGTTAGCTACTGATGGAATTTTGTAGATACGATCTTAGGATGTACTATTCAGACCCCTGAAAACCAAAAATAAAAACTGACCTGGCCAGGCGAGGTGGCTCACGCCTGTAATCCCAGCACTTTGGGAGGCCGAGGTGGGCGGATCGTGAGGTCAGGAGATTGAGACCATCCTGGCTAACATGGTGAAACCCGTATCTACTAAAAATACAAAAAATTAGCCGGGCGTGGTGGTGGGCGGCTGTAGTCCCAGGTACTCGGGAGGCTGAGGCAGGAGAATGGCGTGAACTCGGGAGGTGGAGCTTGCGGTGAGCTGAGATCCGGCCACTGCACTCCAGCCTGGGCGACAGAGTGAGACTCTGTCTCAAAAAAAAAACCAGAAAAACAAACAAAAAACACGGACCTAAACTTTTTATAGTCTGCAAAGTGCTTTTATTTGTATATTGTTGTTTCTCACAGCTAATGACAGTTGAGACTGACCAGTAGTATGATTCTTGTTTTAACAATGCAGACATTGAGGCCAGGCGTGGTGGCTCACGCGACAGAGCGAGACTCCTTCTCAAAAAAAAAAAAAAGACATTGAAACTTTTATTTTTTTATTTTTTAATTTTCTGAAACAGGGTTTTGCTCTGTTGCCTAGGCTGGAGTGCAGTGGCACAATCTCGCCTCACTGTATCCTCTGCCTCCTAGGCTCAAGCAATCCTCCCACCTCAGCATCCAGAGTAGCTGGGAGTACAGGCATGTGCCACCACACCCGGCTACTATTTTGTATCTTTAGTAGAGACGGGGTTTCATCGTGTTGCCAGGCTGGTCTCAAACTCTTGGACTCAAATGATCTGCCCACCTCAGCCTCCCAAAGTGCTGAGATTACAGCTGTGAGCCACCATACCCTTACCTAGACACTGAAACTCTTAAAAGAAGTTAAATTACTGTCTTAGTTAGTTCAAATAGCCAGAAAAGTATACAGTGGAGTTAGGGCTCAAATCCAGATCTTTTGACCTTGAATTCTATAACCTGACCACTTTCTATTTGCCACTTATGGTTGGCAGGCTCTTCTACCTGTATTTCCAAAATGGATGGATATCAGTGATTCTCAAGAGTGTGGCCTGGTAATGCCTGAGGCCCTTTCAGAGGGTCCACAAGGTCAAAATTATTTCATGATACCAAGACATGATTACCTTTTTGACTAAGGTTTGAGGAAATACAGCAATCCCATATATCGAAGTAGAATTCTCAAGGCAGTAAATAGAGAATGGTAAGTGAGTTAAGGAGGCTTCTCTAGGAATGGATGACTGAGCCTCCTGGAAAACTACGTTAAGGGACTGTTGTAAGACGTAGCTCTTTGGGACCTAGTTGGGGTGGGGTGGTAGAGGAGAGTATAGAGAGCTGGAGGATACCCCTCCGGTGGGCTAAATAATTTGTATGTGTGTATTGTTTAGTGTTGATTCTTTTTTAAAAACAGGTTCATTCTTGGTGTTTTTTAGCCTCTTTGTGTTAGGACATGTAATGAAATGCTTATGTTGTTAATTGCTGCATGGAATACTCAATGCAACAGTATGGATAGGTGGAGGTAATTCACCAATTCATTATTTGGTAGTGAGTTTCCAGTTTTTCTCTATAACGAACAATACTACCTGACCACTCTTATAGATAAATCTTTGTATTGATTCTTCAGTAAGGGTAAACTCCTAGCTGCAAGATGACTAGATGGGTGTGTGTGTTCATAGGCGAACATCAGACATGTTTGTTTAATCAGTTTATGGTATTGGAGGGTTGGCACTGATTTTTATTTTTATTTTTCCTGAATTTCTTAGCTAGGTGTGAGTGATCTGGGGGTTCTGGCTGCTCCAGCTGCAAGGAACACAAAGAGAATCAGTATCTCAGGCTCACCTCCAACTCATTCTCCACAGCTGCCATGTACCTGTTGAAAAAAATTGTACTGATTGGCTTACTAGTGAAATTGAGAAGCGCAGATAATTATTAACCAAGAGTGCTGAGTCGACCAGTTATACTTTTAGGAAAATGGCCTCTGACCTGCCTTCCTTGGATCGTCTGTGAAGTGATGGGAGGCGGAGTAGATAGGTATATAGCTTGTTGTTTCCTAAGTAATTATGAGGCAGCCCATATCTTACAGGAAGTGCTCTGCAGTTGGGGAAGACCCCAGCTTCCACCGGAATTGAGAGATGGGAGTAATGTTTGTGAGAGGACAAATTGGTTATGACTGGACTCAGAGGAGAACAAACCTGTGAAGTAACTGAAACAGGTTTTCAGATGGGAGGTCCGGGGATGAGAAACATGGTGAGTGAGAATCAGAAACTGAGAAAGTAAACTGCAGGTTGAACAAGTATTTCAAGCTGGTACAATAAGTAAGACTGATTTATATTTAGGGTTAACAGAGTGCATTGGTTATTTAATAATGTGCTTATTGAGATTATACTTATGTTCTTTTTTTTGATAGCTGCAAAATAGCTTGCTGAGATTTTGATTGTGATTGCATTAAATGTATATATCAACTTAGGAAAAACTGAGGTCATGACAATATTGTCTTCTAATCCATGCACACATAATGTTTTTCTGGTTTTTTAGATCTTTGATTTCTTTTGTCAGAGTTTTGTAGTTTTCTGTATATATTTTGTTTGATTTATAACTAAGCGGTTCATTTTTTGTTGTATTGTAAATGGTACTGTATTCTTAATTTCAGATTCCAGTCATTGTTGGTATATAGAAAAGCAACTGCTTTTTGTATATTACCCTTGTATTCTGGGATCTTGCTATAATTGCTTATTTCGGTTTTTTATTGTTACTGATCTTTGTTTGTTTATTTTAACCTACCTCAGTCACGTTATCTATAAAGAAAGATAGGCTTTTCCTCCTTCCCAGTCTATACACCTTTTATTTCCTTTTCTTATTGCACAAGCTAAGCTTTCCAATATGATGTCAACTAGGAGTGATGAGAGAGGATATCCTTACCTTTTTCTTTCTTACTAGTAAGTTTGCTGTTAGCTGTGGGTTTTGGGATATATATTATTTAACCAATTGAAAACACTTTCTTCTGTTCCTAGTTTGTTAAGAGTGCTTAGTCATGAACAGGTGTTGGGTTTTGCCAGTAATGTTTGTTGCATCAATTGATATGATCATATGATACTTCTTTTGGCCTATTGATGTGATGAATTACATTAATTGTTCATTAATTGCTTTTTAAAAAACTGCTTTTCTAACGTCAAGCCAGCCTTGCATACCTCGAATAAATTTCTCTTTTGTTCATGGTATAATTCTTTCTACGTATTGTTGCATTTGATTTGCTAATATTTTGTTGGGGATTTTTGCATCTGTGTTCATGGGAGATTGATTTGTAGATTTCTTTTCTTGATTTTTTTGCTTGGTTTTGGTGTTATTCAACCTGTTCTCATTTTTCTTTATTCTCTTCTAGCTTTTATTCCTATACATTCTCTGATTTTAGCTGTGTGAAAATGATGCACAAGTAGTAGTGTATTTGTTCACTTGAATTAGTAATGTCTAACATCCACTCAGTCTCCAGGAAAGCCTGTTTTATGCTACTTGATACTGTTCTTTACATGGTTTTCATTTAAGACCAGTTATATTTAAAATGTTGAATTTTAAAATGAGACATGTCATTTAACTAGCTATATTTACAGGAAGATGGTTATACTCTGAAATCTCTAGATTTTTCCTGTGAAGTTATAGTTGAATTAAGATAACAATGAAGAATAACTTTTTTTTTCCTTTGACTAATAAGGAGAAGTATCATAGTCCCTTTTACTTACCCAAGAACTCTCACCTAGAAGATATAATGGAATTGTGTACCTTCTCAGAGCTGGAGCACTCACAGAACAGGCTTGACTGGCAGTATCTCACCCCACCCTTTTCTTTTATGTTCCTCATATTTTTCTCATGCATTTCTTTCCTAACTTTTGTATGAAATAGAAGAACATAGTTTTTATGTTTTTATTTTATTTATTTTATTTCAGTAGGTTTCTGGGGAACAGGTGGTGTTTGGATAAGTTCTTTAGTGGTGATTTCTGAGACTTGAGTGCACCCATCACCCAAGCAGTATACCCTGTGCCCAATATGTAGTCTTTTGTCCCTCACCCCCCTCCTGCCCTTCCCTCTTAAGTCCCCAAAGTCCATTGTGTCGTTCTTACATTTTTGTGTCCTCATAAGTTAGCTCCCTCTTGTAAGTGAGAACATACAAGTAACCCATTCCTGGGTTACTTCACTTAGAATAATGGTCCTCAACTCTATCCAGGTTGCTGCGAATGCCATTATTTTGTTCCTTTTTATGGCTGAGTAGTATAGAAATGGAAGAACATAGTTTATTTCCTACTGTCAAGTATTAAAACAAGTAAATTGAAGAAAACATAAATTGATTTCTCTTTTTGAATTTTGTATTTCCTCAGTATTTCTATGATAAAAGTTTTGCAACTTAATATAGGGTGTGACTAGGGATGATGAAGGAAACAGAGGAAAGTTTAGGACTTATTAACCTGAGGAAAATGAAAGTATATTATATATTAATTAGAAGATTATTTTGATATTTTAAAAATGGCAAACTGTTTGCGTTTATGCCTCTGCTTTTTCTTAGGCAGAGACTCCCCCTAATGGGCCAGATTGTGGCTATGGCTCCTTTCACCAGCAGTACTGGCTTGATGGAAAGATCATTGCTGTGGGGGTGATTGACATTCTCCCAAACTGTGTGTCATCTGTGTATTTGTACTACGATCCTGATTATTCGTTTTTGTCTTTGGGTGTCTACTCTGCACTACGGTAAGATTGGTTTTTGCCATTATTGTAGTGGGTTATATAGAACTTCAAATAATTACTCATTTGATTATATTTAATTATGTAACAGTAGAAGTCCTATTTGACAATGTATTATAATGATTTGTTGCTAGTCTCTTATGTAGAATACATACTACTATGTAATAGGCATTCTATATAAGAGTTAAATACTACTATATAATATATAGTTATATATAATTTGTAATTTTCATTTAAGAACAACATTTAAAATCACATTGAATTTTAAAATAAATGTCATTTAGTTGTATTTATAGGAAATATACATATTATATAACTATAAGTATATAATTATGTAATATATAAGTAAATATTATGTATAACTAGTATCTATAATCTCTGGTGGTTTTGTATTGTATTTGGAAGATACTACCTTTAGAACTGATGCCAGTGTCTGATGGTAATTCTCTAGCTTTTTAAGGTATCCATCTAGTTAAGAAGTCATTGTATTTGTGGGTAGCTTTTGTTGTTTATACATTTATTTAAGCCCTCCTGTCGGAACTACTTATATTCCTTAAATGTTATATGACTTATATTCTTGTCATCACTATCTTCTACTTCTTTTTTCCTTTTCAAATGAGATGGGGTCTTGCTTTGTTGCCTGGGTTGCTCTCGAACTCCTGGGCTCAAGTGATCCTCCTTCCTCAGCCTTTCAGGTACCTGGAATTACAGGCTTGTACTACTGCATTCAGCTTTATACTTTTTTACTGTTAATTAAAAGTTAAGTTAATATGGTGTAAATGAATCAAAGTAATATGAGTCTACTGGAAGAAATATACATGTATACAGAACAGGCCTGGGGAATCCCTGGCTGACTGGTTGAATTTATGACCCTCATCAAAAGATAATTTCCCTTTTGTGTCCATGGCTGCAAACATGTATATACAGCACAAAACATTTTTAATGGTGAGAAGACTGGAGTCTTCCTCCAGTTTTCTCTATTTATTTCTGTTTGTCTATGTGTATATGTGGTGGAGGAGGGAAGGAGGGTTGGGAACTATTTTTATTTTGTTTATCTGGGAGCTTGAGTCTCTCTCTCACTTTTTACTGTTGTGTCATACTTTTCTCATCTCTCAGTCTTCATGTCTGATGGTCACATTTTTCACGTCATAGTAAAATGTACTGCCAGATTATTTTTTGTGTATGTACTTTTTTATGAATTATAAAAGAGTTGAAATTTTTCATTAAATCAGCAATTTAATGTTTTTAAAAATCTGGTCCATAAGTGATTTTTTTGTGTCTGTTTCAGTGGCCCACAATATAAAGTTCTTCATCTTAGCATTTTCAACTTGACTTTTTTCTTAATGCCAATTTTTAACAAATCCACAATTACATAATATTTACAATGGATCTCTGTAACAGTCTTTTATTCTTATGTATTTAATCACATTTTTGTATAAAGTAGTTTAAAAATATTTATGGCTGTTGGTGCTCTCACTGAAATTGAAATTGATAATTTAAAATATTCGTGTTTTATAACTATAGATTTTACAATTATTATATAACTTCAGAGGTTTTATTTCAGAAAAGATATATTTTCTTTATACCCAAATCAGTCAGTACTTTCAAATAATTGCTGGTTTTTTGTTTGGTTTGGTTTTATTTTTGTATTATCACTTTACAATGTGTTACAGATTTTTCTAGGCTTCTCAGATGAATTTTTAAGGGTGAGATTTATTTCTACATAATAAGCTCTGGCCTATTTCTGAAATATTTCGTGGCTCAATAAACTGAGAGATGGTTTAGATATTGAGATGGTAAATAATTAATTCCCAGCAAAATTAGCAAGAGTTCTATTGACTGCCTAGTATATCCCTGCAAATACTAGAGCTGGAGAGCCGGGAGGGAGCAGGAGAGGAGCCTGAGGTCATGAAAGGTTTGCCAGTTGAGGGCTGGATGGCTGCGGCTGCTCTGCAGTCTTGTCACTTCCTTTTGGTGCTCTCGAGAATATGAGTTGCAGAGTTTATAGAAAAGGGAAGGCAGCCGGGAGATTGACCTCTTGAAGCAAAATTGGAGAAAGTAGGTTATCAGTTGCTAATCCCATTATTGATTTTAATGTATTTTGGTGAAACCTGTTCCCCTCAATTTCTTGAGTTTCTTAAGCAGTCGAACAATCAATATAGTTTTATGTTTACAGATTTATGTAATGTAGCCTGTAGATTTTTATTTTTTTTATTTATTTAATTTATTTTTGTAATCAGCGTCTGCTTATCCATAGCCTGTAGGTACAAGAATTGTTTGAATTGGGGATCATGAGCATGGCATCTGTTTTTGTGTTTTTAGAAAGATACATTTTAAAAATGTAATTACATTCATAGACATGAATAAGACAGGTTTCTAGTTTGTCCAAACAGACCATAAATAATAAAACAGACAACTTAATTTCAGATACTCCCTAGCACTGTGACAAAAATAAAATTAGCGGTGGTGGGCATGAAGCCTGTTTTATATAGATTAGTCTTTCCTCATAGAGAACAGGTGACATTTCAGGGGCAAAGGAAGAAGAAAAGGAACCAGTCATGTAAAAATCTGAGGATAGGAAGAAGCTCAGGTGAAGGGTAGCAAATCTAAGTGCCCCGAGGTGGCCAGGAAAAACAAAAAAGTCTTTTGGGCTCGGGTGTAGGGAAGGACGTAGAGAGCCTTATGCAAGGGGCAGAGAGGCAGGTGGAGTTGGTGAGAAGGATTCAGCTGGAGTGGCGCTTGTAGGACAGGGTGGGGAGGTTGGGTTTTATTTATATGTGGTGCCAACCCGCTGCTGGGGTGGGAGATTGGGAGATCTGATTAATATTGTAAAAGATTACTTGACCTGTTCTGTGGAGATTATGGAGGGGCAAGAGTGGAAACAGGAGCCAGCTGGGAGGCTGCTGCAGTCATCCAGGGGCACCATGATGTTGCTTGAACCAGAATATCTGAGGCGGAGGTGGTAAGAAGTGGTCAGATTCAAGACATATTTTAGAGAGAAAGCCCAAAAGACCTGCGGATGGATTGGACACGGGGATGAGAAGAAAAGGATTAAGGATGACTCCAAGGTTTGGGGCCTGAACAAATCTGGGGAGACGTGATGAAATGAACTAAGGTGGGCAGGACCAAGTGGATTGGTACCATGACTGGGTGGGCCTTCTCGGAATTGGTGGTCTTACACTTGCTTGTGTCAGTGCATTCTTTCCTCAGTTTGAACCTTGAGAGTGGATTAATTCTGGAAATAGGATTTATTCTGTTATAGGCTAATAATGTTTAGTCTGGTTGGATTTAGAAATACTTTTAATTTAAAAATGAATTCTTAAGGTAATAATTCTTCAAGGATTTAAATTTGAAGTAGAAAAATGCACAGAATATTGCATTACAAATACATTTCTTTAGAATGTCAAGCATCAATTGCTACTAATAAAGAAAAGAATACCTTAAGAAACAAACATAAAAACAAAACTACTTTCCTCATACTTTAGAAATATACTGAAGTTTTACTAAGCACTTACAAACCAGTCGTTTAGCTGGGCAAGTAGAATGAAATTCTGTGCCAAGATTTATCAGGATACACATGAAAACCACTTCATGCATAGGTGTTACAGTGGAGAGACTGACAACTTCTTATGTTCGAGTTACTTGGCTTATTCCAGCAAATACAGAAAATGTGGTGAGATAACATGGTATTTCCTGCTCTCTAGTTTTAGGGGAAATAAATATTAAAGTTGTACCTAGATAAAGGAATGAGTTAGGTGTCATATGCAGCTGAAAATGTTTGCATGTAAATGGTCATAATAATAGTTATTCTTCCTGAAATTTATTGGCTTTTGCGTTTTCTAAAATTTGCTCTACTGTTTTTAACCTGTTAAGCCCAGATTCTTTGAGAGCCGTAGGGCATGATGAACAATAACAGATCACTGTAGGTCTCTTTAATTTTATGCTATTTGAATTTTAGATCAGGTACTTTGTCCAATAAAGTGTAAAACCTGAACTTAGATGCATTTGCCTAAAATTATGTAGCGGGGTTTATTATTTCTTTAGTAAAAATTACTGTATAGTGTATGTTTTAAAAGTTTTTCTTTAAATATTTGTAATTTTTTGATAGCTTAATATCAGATTTTATCAAATGTTTACCATCAAATTACATAGATATTTGAACATCGGAACCAGAATTAACTGCCTTCAGCTTTCTTCTTTTTCTTTTGGCAGAGAAATTGCTTTTACTAGGCAGCTTCATGAGAAAACTTCTCAACTCAGCTATTATTATATGGGTTTCTACATTCATTCGTGTCCCAAGATGAAATATAAGGTAAAGTTGATTTTCACATATGTGTGTTTTTATTATAGAAAAATGAATCTCTAATAAAATTTTTATCTCAGGGCACTGGATTTGAAGCTTTGAAGGAAGGACGAATGGGTTAATAAGGAAATCTCTTTGCTGCCTCAGAAATTAAGCTTTCTGTAATGAGAACCACAGCCTCTCCTGCTCTCGTAATCCATCGCATTATTGTGAGATTTAAGTATATTTCAGAATTTCCCTTTTAAAAAACGTTTTATGACTCTCGTTAATCAAACTCTTTGATGTCTCCTAAATATGAGTGGCCCACTGTAAAAACTGCAGAGTGAAGACCAATGCAGAGGAGCAGACCCACCGCGACTGCAGTAACTAAACACGTCTGCTTTACTTAGAGTGAGGCTTTCAGCTCTGAAGATACATGGATCTTCTACTTAAAACTTGTGAGCTAGGGGAAGATTAGGGGCATTTTACTTAAAACCAGGGCATACAGTGGTCTGGTCAGTGGCCTAGGAGGACATGGTTTTTTACTACACAAGATGTGGAAGAGGAAAGGAAGGAGTAGCTCAAGAAAAGAGTAGGTAGGCTGGAGAAGCACATTTCAAGGAGAAGAAGCAGTAAAAGAAAGGATTCAGAAGGGCAAGTGCTGATGATGTATTTGTAGAGGAAAGGGTAACTGAAGGACTGTGCAGGACCCTGAAGGCCGGGCTAAGGTACTTAGGCACCTGGGAGTCATCAACAGTTGCAGAGCAGAGCAGCGTAAATCAGAAAATGTACATATGTCCACACATAGAAATATGACTTAATGGGGGTTTTAAAACAAGCCAAATTAAATAAAAAAGCATAATTGAACCCCTGTGTACCCATTACCCAGCTTTAGTAATTTTCATGCATTTGTTTCATCTGTTCCTTCACTCCATTCCCACCTCCACCCTCTCTTGAATTATTTTGGAGCAAATCAAAAGTATCAATCTGCCAATATTGTAGTCTGTATTTCTAAAAGATAAGGGCATTTTGAAAATGTAATCACGATCTCATCATATACCTAGAAAGTATTAACAGCGTTTCCAAATATCACCTGATCAGCATTCATATTTCCTGTTTACTTTATTGTCTCATAATCTTTTACAGTCAATTTGTTTGACTTAGGACTCAGTAAGGTTCATATATTATATTTGTGATGTGTCTTTTAAATCTCTTTAAATCAATAAATATTCCCTCCCCCCACCTACCTTTTTTCTTTCTTACAAAGGAATAATTCACAGGACTTGGTGATTAACTAAATTTGGGGATGATTATAATTCTAAATCTTTGAGGTTAAGTACTGAGTGGGGAGATGGTTCCATTATCAGAAATTATGGATTCTGAAAGTAGGACTGGCTTTGAGAGACAGGTGAAAATGCAGGGCCTTGCTGGTTTTACATTGGCAGTCCAGGTAAGCTGATCAAGGTGTCCTGGCATTTGGAGGTTTTCTTTTGAGCTTATATTTAAGTGTACATTGTAGGGAGATAACCCCTGAATTTGGTTATCCTCAAAAACTTCTTTTATGCCTGAATTACTAATTCACTTGATGGGCCTTAACATATGTTCTGTACAGAAGGAAAAGTATGAGCATATTTCCGTTTTGCCTAAAAATAATGATTTGCTTATGTTTTTACTAGTGTTTTATCCTTCTGGCTCATTTTCATCTGGTACTAGATCTAAATTAGTTCAGAGCAGAAAACTCTAGTACTCAAGATATTTTAATGCATTTATAAGACTGAAAGAAAACTCTGGCTGTCCTTATATTAATCTTCCTTTATGTAGTACATGACCCATTCAAATGAAGTATTTTCATACTAGACTTAGGGACTGGCACAGATTTCACTTTTATGTCTCGTCTTTGATGACCGTTCTAGTCTCACAGCATTTCTCTTGAAAGTTTTTAATTATGCCTAAGCTAAATTCTAATTGGCCCTATATTTTAACCTAGGTCTTTTTTTTCTTTTTTCTTTTTGTTTGTGGAAATGCTGAATATAGTTTCATCATCCTTTTCCTCTTCATGAAGACGTTTTGCTCACACCTTTGTTGACTCTAGTTCAGACTAAATATTTTAGATTCTTTAGTCTCCTTCCTAGGTAGAGCTCTGCTTGGAAATTCAGGCCAGCCTGTGTATAGTTTTAAGTTAAAGATTTAAGGCCGGGCGCGGTGGCTCAAGCCTGTAATCCCAGCACTTTGGGAGGCCAAGACGGGTGGATCACGAGGTCAGGAGATCGAGACCATCCTGGTTAACATGGTGAAACCCCGTCTCTACTAAAAAATACAAAAAACTAGCCGGGCGAGGTGGCGGGTGCCTGTAGTCCCGGTTACTCGGGAGGCTGAGGCGGGAGAATGGCGTGAACCCGGGAGGCGGAGCTTGCTGTGAGCTGAGATCCGGCCACTGCACTCCAGCCTGGTCGACAGAGCGAGACTCCGTCTCAAAAAAAAAAAAAAAAAAAAGATTTAAAAAATGCTGTATGTGCTTTTCAGTCTACCTTAATTATATCCAGTCAAAATCCATAAGAATTATAGCTTCAAAATATTATTTGTTTAAATCCATTTATATGAGAGGTACCCCCATGCCTGCTTGCCTTCTGGTTTGCTTTCTTCCTTCATCCAGGAAATACTTATTCAGATCCTACTGGAAATAACAGCCGTGAACAATACAGGCAAGATCCCTGGTCTCTTGGAACTTCCATTCTAGTGGAGAAGCTAACAGTAATCAGGAAGACAGATGTCAGGGATGAGTGCTGTGTAGACATTAATTAACTGAGTGTGGCTACTTAGGGTCCTCTCTGAGGACGAATGTTTAGGCTAAGATTTGAATGTCACAGAGTCAGCCAATGGGAAGTTTTAGGGTCATTGCAGAAAGGCACTGAGGAAACAGCTAGTGTAGCACTGCCTAGCCTTTTAGTTGCTGCAGTCGTCAGTTTTGACTGGAGTTGAGGACCTGGAGAACATTTTCATAAGACCTGTGCTTAGGCCATATATTCAGAGATTTTAAGTAATTTGTTCTGGGATCAACCATGGGCATCAGACTTGTTTAATGCTCAGAAGATTCTGATATGAAGTCAGACTAGAGAATCACTGTACCAGATTATTTTTTCACAGCTGAGAGCCTCATGAGGAACTGGAAAGACAGTTATTCCCCATTTTAAAGTTTACTGTTTTCTGTTTATTGAATTCGGAATTACTCCTATTGAAGAAGCTCATTTCTTTGCCCTGTCATCTGTGGCCTAGAACATAGAACACTGACCAACCATAGAATTCCCACTTTTTTCACCCTACTTGAGACCTTTATCCGTACTGTACTCTCGTTTTTTACCCTTCCCTTTGCCCCTCCCCCAAGCTTGCAAATTCCCCATCTATCATTTTTCAACTCCAGTAATCGCTACTGGACTCTTAAGACTAGATTTCATCATTCACCCATCTACCCCATAGCAGTTTACATTTCTTCCCCGAACTAGTCCATCTCCTGTGCATACATTCCATGAGAGTCTAATTGACATTTAACTTCTTGTGTCCCAGGTTGCGAGCAGTGTGCCTGCTACATAGTAGATATTTAATGCTTAATATACATTTGTTGAACTAATGAATGAAAATACTAATGCAGAGAGCTGAGAAGTGTGTAGGCTAGTGAGAAATACCTTTTCATTTTTTTTTAACAAAAATGTGTTGCGCATGAATAGGTTATAACTTAGTAACAGATTCACAGTTCTAACAGAATGTGATAGGTATTGTGACTGATTGTCTTTGAGTATTGATAAATACTCTGATAGTAAAGGGAGGTGGTGACACAGGAATGTGTAACAGTTTGGAGAAGTTGCTTAACTACATCTGGTCTCAGTTTTTGCAACTGTAAATGGGAATGATGTAGAAATGAGACAGGTTGTTATCTGCATTTGAGTGTAGACTCTACCTAGTTGGGTAGCATTCATAAAATCATTACCTGAGCTTCTTTTGGGGCCTGTCACAGCTCTCTCTGTTTGTATACTGATAATTGACATCCAGATTTCTAAATGCCTGCTCCTGTTATTAATCAGACTTCTTAGATTAGTTTAGATGCTGGGGAAAGGGAGAGGCATATATTACTGAATACCAATACTGCCTTTCTCTGAAAGTTCCCAGAATTGCGGACACTTGTCTTTTGCTTAGAGGCCAGTGGCATAGTATTAGTTTGTTTTCATGCTGTTGATAAAGACATACCCAAGACTGGGAAGAAAAAGAGGTTTAATTGGACTTACAGCTCCACTTGGCTGGAGAGGCCTCAGAATCATAGTGGGAGGTAAAAGGCACTTCTTATGTGGGGTGGCAAGAGAAAATGAGGAAGATGCAGAAGCAGAAACACCTAATAAAACCATCAGATCTCGTGAGACTTATTCACTACCACGAGAACATTATGGGGGGAGCCACCCCCATGATTCAAATGATCTCCCACTAGGTCCCTCCCATAGCACATGCAAATTATGGGAGTAGAATTCACGATGAGATCTGGGTGGGGTCACAGAGCATACCCATATCAGACACTGAGCTCTGTTAGGGGATAGTGCTACAGTGTAGAGAACCTTTAAGTAACAAGTCTTATATTGTGCCATAGGATGTCTGTCAGCTTTGGCTTTATCTGTTTAGGACAAAATAAGTCTCTTCGAGCTCAGGTATTTATTCTGAATAAAATGGTTAGTTTGCTCCATTGGAGTGAGGAGAAATTGGTACATTTGTGCTAGGACTCCAACCTGTATGTTGTAATTGATGGCAATCTAATACTCAGTTCTAGGCCATGTAGATCAGAAAAGAGTATCCTTTCTATGCTAACACCATTGTAATATTCCTGCTTATCCCACAAACTGAGCTACTGAATTTGAGGAGGACTAGTCGGTGTGTGGCAGAATATCATGTCACTCCTTTAGTCCGTCTTCCAAATACTGCATCAGAAGCTAAGACTGTAATTTCTGTTTACTTAGGGATAAAGCTGGGCAATTCAGAATAATTTATGGTCA